TAATAAATGCTACCAGAGATTACTCCCCAAGTGAAAGTTTTCTAAGTTTCTCTTAGATCTTTCCTTGCATGTGTATTTACTTTTGTAATACCCTTTCTTCGTTTGAATGCTGTTAGTTAAAACTGGATTTCAGTGAGGTCAGTTTTTAGGATCTTCTAGAAACATGTCTTGCCGTTGTCATAATTTTCTGGTCCAACCATTGAGCAGATTTACTATATATATATTTTTTTAATTTTCAGCTTAACTTAGTAAAAATTACAGTCTTCGGTTTGTCTTTTAAATGTTATTGGCAAAAAAAAAAAAGAGAGAGGTCAGAAAACCAGTTGAAAGATGATTTGGAGCTCTATGAATGTGTACCCTAGTGTAAGTACATGGAGAACTGCAGTTGGAGGGGTAGGGATCTCTAAGCTGTCGCTTCTAAGTAGGAGATGAGGTCACTACTTTCCACTAGTGATTTTAACAATATAGGGATCCCAATAAGTGCTTTCCTACCTGAAGAGGCAAGTCATTGTAATATTAGTACTAGTGGTCATCAGCTGTAGATGCTTTTTTGCATAGGAACTGTAGGTGGCCAGTTCCTGTTGTCATGTGTGTAGTTTCTAGTGTGGGATTTTTTTTTTTTTCAGGAGTATTCCACAGAAAGGTTTATTAAAGGGAAAGAGAGACATGCAATAGGAATTGAGGCATCTGGCTCTAGGCTAAAATTCTATGTGTGATCAGTTAGGTGAACCGTAGGCAGTTAAGACTTTGCCTGACTTGTCTCATGAGTAGGCTGCTTTCCCCACACCAGACTTGCTGCACAGCCAGCATGTTGCACTTTTCTGGAGGAAGTTTATATTTAAGGCTCACCCCTTTCACCCCTGCCACGCCTAACCATGCTTATAAGCAGATACGCGTTCATGGTTTGGATGCTTCCATTCAGAGGCCTCCTTACATATGAGGCATTTCCTGGAGACCCCCACCAAGACCTCCTCTTTGGGGGTCTTAGCTGAATCACTTTTCTCCACTTTGACTCAGTACTTTTCTACTCCTAACTCTTCTTCATTTCCCTTCCTCCAGGCCACTTGTATTTTAATCACTTTCTATTCATTCACCCCATTGGTGAGGGAGGGATTCTTACCATAGGGTTATGGGCATGGCTGAACACATGACACCTGACACTGGACAGATGAGATCAACGCAGTTTATTAGTCACATATACTGACAGCTCAGGGGAGAAGGACACTGACACCACATGGGTGTTGTAATTAGGAACAGAGTGAACAGCCAGAAGCTAAGGGAATCAAACAGTGTAGTATCAAGAGGGTGGGGTGCCCGTGGTTAAGAAGGAAGATGTGATTAGCTGGTTTTAATTACTGTGCAGACTAACAGGGAACTGCAATCCACTACTCAAAGATAAACAAGAACTGTGCCTGGGTCCCCTTGATTGAGGGTTATTTGGCTAGGGGACCTTACCACGGGAGCAGAGTAGGGAGGGGGACTTATGGTTAGACCATTCAAGGCCCTCCCAATTTTACTAGATGTTGAAGCAGCATATAATATTGGACCTCAATTTTAGGCCCTACCCTACATTGCTCTATAAAGAGGCAGGTGCCTTTTGTTCAGGGCCCTGGGACAGTGAGATAATTCCCATCTGTGCTCATCCAGTGCTATTCCATGGGGAAAAGTGAAGTACTGGGAGCCAGCATCTTTCTTTTTTTTGGCCACTTTCTTACACAGTAAGTGAATAAAAAGACTTGATTGTTACCTTCTGTTTGGCTCATTGTCCTAATTAATCACCTCAACACCTAATTGTTCAGTAGGAATTAAGTAAATTACCAAGTTCTTAGCAGTTTACAGGATTCATGTCTTAATTTTAATGCTCATGACTCTTGCTCTGGATCAGTATGTTTAAAGATTTTGCAAATTATTCACTAGTAATTTCTCAAACTCATTGTAATGAAAAATACATATTTATAGCACCAGTAGTGGATTGTTACTAAGATGGGTATCTATCTGGTTTATAAAATGTGTTTAATAAATTAATATACAGGTTTCTTCTGTTATCTAAAAGTTGACTGCTCCTACGAAAACTTTCATAAGCTGAAATGGCATAAAGCGAAGCAATTACCATTAATTTATACAGGAAAAAATTTTGAGAGTTCCTAGACCCCAAAAATAACTTAACCAAATAATACATAAAACCTAAAATAACACTAACATATAATGTTGACAAACACAACTCAAAGCTATAGTGTTTTGATGCTGAGAAACTGAGTGTAGTTCCCAGGGAAGAAGCTTGGTCACTCCACTGCTAACTTACTGCTCATTGTGCATGCTGCAAAATAAATGCTGAATGCTAGTTTTATTTTTTGCCTTTTTTTGTAAAAGCAAAAATCTTCAGATTTCTTTCAGTTAGCAAAAAAGGTATTAATGTAAGTCTTTCTAAAAGGTAAGTGGTGTAAAGGGAACTTTTGAAAAGTACCTGGACTGACTTGTACTCAGGTTAATTTACATTGTGTATATTTGTGCGACATACTATTCTGTTAGGCTCTGATTAGTTCTTTTTGTTTGTTTATTTGGTCAATATATTTAAGTAATATGGGTCAGTTGAAAACTGAACACTTGGTGTCCTTAGTTATCCTGTCTTATCTGGAGGACTTGATCTTTATCAACTTAGTAGGCTACTTGACCACTTTGGATCAAGTTTCTGACTTATTGTAATGAGTTCCTTGGTCTAGTGTTGTGTGAAGAGGTATGCTATTAATAGCATTCATAAACTTTTAACCTCTTTCTACAGAAGTTTGATAAGACAATATTTATCCTTACTATGTGTTATATGTTCCAGTATTTTCTATTCTGTTCTATTTTATTAAACAAAAATGCTCATCATGATCCATTAAGTAAATATCACAATCCATTAATAGCTAGTTGCCTGTAGTTTGAAAAATACTGCAGTGGAGGAACTAGTAGAAGAAACTCATTAAACAAATTATGATTTTTTTTTTTCTGCTTTTAATTCACATTGCTGAAAAGAGCCAGTATGGGTGTGTTTGTGAGTTTGTATTTAAGGTACCTTCTAGGAAAAGACAATAAACAGCAATATTTGAATATTTGCCAAATCACCTGGCAAGAAAACCTGAAGTTTCTGGTGTAGACTTGTCAACTCTGATGTCAACAAGGAAATACAGCATTAGAATGAACAAACTAGAACAGCATTTTTTGTTCTAATCTCTGACTTCTTATTTAAGAGCAATGCAGTAGGAGAGGGAGGATGAGAAGAAAATTGGCTTCTCAGATAAAAGAAGGGAGGATGTGTTGTAAAAGTGGATACAATTTTTATATGTGCCCTATTTACAAAGTATTTGACTGCTAACCAGAAGGTTGGCGCTTCAAACTCACCAGCTACTCTGGAGAAAGAAGATGGGCAATCTACTTCCATAAAGATTTATGGCCTTGAAAACCCAATGGGGGTCGCTATGAGTCAGAATCAACTCGTGATGACAGTGAATTTAGTTTGGTTTTCAGATAGGGAGGCATTTTTATCTTTATATTATCTCTGAAATCAAAGGATTCTTGTATTATAGTGTCTGACAAGTGAACCCAGTCATCTTTCAGTTATTTAGCTCTTTGTCTACTTCATTGCCTGAGGACTTATCTTTTAGGAATTTCACAAAAAAGTGGAAAGGAGATATAAAAGGAACTAAATTTAGACAGCATGTTATCTCTTAGTTAAAACTAAAAACCAAACTCACTGCCATCGAGTTGGTTCTGACTCATAGCGACTGCCATTTGGTTTCCGAGGCAGTAAATCTTTATGGAAGTAGATTGCCCTATCTTCCTTGCAGAGCAGCTGGTGTGTTTGAACCCCTAACCTTCTGGTTAGCAGTCAAATGCCTTAGGCACTGCACCACCAGAACTCCTTGTCTCTCAGTCAGAAACACTAAAAATATTACTAAGTAGATAGGGATAAAGTTTCAAACTTTGATTAGTGTTGAGCTAAAATCATACCCTCATTTATATATTGCCTTACAGTTTTCCAACATTTTCACTTGCATTATCTTTTTTGAGCCTTTTTTTTTTTTTTTTTTTTTTTTAATTCTTACAACAACCTAGTGTGGTAGATAGGCCATGAGGCATTTCACAGATGAGGAATCTGTTTCTTTTCCTTCTTCCTGCTACCAAAATCAAAAAGTGTTAACTTGAACCTAAATCTTCTGGGACATTTTCTCCCAGTTGACTGTGTTGTCCTTGTTGGTCTAAAAAAACCCAAACCAAACCCACTGCCGTTGGGTTGCTTCTGACTCATAGAAACCCCCATTGGGTTTCTGAGACAGTAAATCTTTACAGAAGTAGATTGCCCAGTTTTGCTTCCATGGAGCAGCTGGTGGGTTTGTTTGAACTACCAACCTTCTGGTTAGTAGTCAGATACCTTAGGCACTACACCACCAGAGCTCCTTTGTTGGTCTAAAGGAGAAGTAATTGAGAGTAAACAGTGTTAATGGGGCTAAGAAAATCCAACTTTGATAAATGAAACATTCCATTCTCCTCAGATCACGTCCCTAGTGCTCTATAATTGAATGCAAATGCATCTTATTTTTAGTATATTTTAATTCTTATACTTTTTGCCTTTCTATTCTAACTATTTTAATAACAAAAAAACAAAGTAGTTAAATATAGACAAATCTACTTGATAGTGAACTGGAAAAATTAGAATAAAAGGTCTATTTAATGTCAAGAAATTCAACTGAGTCCCCTTTTAATAGAGCATCTCAATTAATTAGACTCTTGCTTTAAAACTATGTAGATTTTTAGATATATCTTTAAAAGACTCATTATTACATATATAAAATTATTTTTTTAATTTTAAAGTATTCTTCTAAAATAGTTACTAACTTCTACATGCAGGAAAAGTCCAGATTCTACTTTATCCTTTACATCTTAGCCTACAAGATAAATTATTTATTTTCATATGAATAAAGAATTTTTTAATTAATATATTTTTATTTTTAATTTTTAGACATCTCTGGAGTTTAAGAAAGTCATGGAAGTCACCAGAGTTTATCACTGAAGAATGTGATGGCTGAAAACAATTCAAAAATGCTAAAGATTCAACAGTGTGTAGTAGCCAACAAACTACCTAGAAACAGGCCATATGTGTGCAATATTTGCTTCAAGCACTTTGAAACACCATCAAAATTAGCTAGACATTACCTTATTCATACTGGTCAAAAGCCATTTGAATGTGAAGTGTGTCATAAAACTTTTAGGCAACTAGTTCATCTGGAGAGACATCAGTTAACTCATAATCTGCCTTTTAAATGTAGTATTTGTCAACGCCACTTTAAAAATCTGAAAACATTTGTGAAGCACCAACAGCTTCACAATGAAACCTACCAGAATGAAGTTAAACAGGTCAGAAGATTGATGGAGGCCAAGCAAGAAAAGCCAGTTTATGGAGTATATCGAACTTTTACCACAGAGGAGAGATGGCCATTACATCCATGCTCTAAGCCTGATCCCACATACAACCCTACAAAGAGAAGAAAGAATATTCATGCATGTACAATCTGTGGCAAGATGTTTCCATCACAATCAAAACTCGATAGACATGCACTTATTCATACTGGTCAGAGACCTTTTAAATGTGTCCTGTGCAGTAAATCTTTCCGACAGTCAACTCATTTAAAAATTCACCAACTCACACATTCGGAAGAAAGGCCTTTTCAGTGTTGTTTTTGTCAAAAAGGATTTAAGATTCAAAGCAAACTTCTGAAGCATAAACAAATCCATACTAGGAAGAAGACTTTCCAGACTGTTTCTTTAAAGGTAAAGAGTCCAGAATCATGCCCCCTGCCTAATAAATTAAATGCAAAGCAGGATGGTTTTGAAAATGTTGAGATGGGTGAATCTGAGGAGAATAATCCACTTGACGTCCACGCTATTTATATAGTCCCTTTTCAATGTCCAGAGTGTGAAGAGTGTTTTGAATCAGAGCAGATTCTCAATGGACATAAGTGTTTGCCTGCCAGAGTTGGCAAAATTCCAGGCAGGCTCAAAAGAAGCTACAACTATAAAACTGTTGTTAAAAAAATCTTGGCCAAGCTTAGACGTGCTGGAGGTAAGAAATTAGATAACTTTCAATCTGAGAAAAGAGCATTTAAAACCAGTTTCTTAAAAAATTGCAACCTTATTTCTGGTGAGGAGAGCGCTGAACAAACTCAGAGATCATTTAAGGGTTCTCTTGGCAAACATGGAACATATAAGACATTTGGCAATAAAAAGAAAAAAACGCTGACTTTGCCGTTTTCTTGGCAAAAGCAATTCCAGAGTCAAAATGTGGGGAAAAATTTGAAAGGTGTCCTTACAACAGACAGCATGTTAACTCTGGATAATTCAGTGTGTAATAAAGACATTTCTATCTATGGTTCATCAGGTAAAGAATTCTTTGATAATTGTGAAATGCTTCAGTATGGTTTTTCAGTTCCAGGTGAAAACATACATACTGGACATAAAATGTGTCCTTGTGACAGATGTGAGAAAGTATTTCCTTCTATATCCAAACTACAAAGACACTATTTAATTCATACTGGACAGAGGCCTTTTGGCTGTAATGTTTGTGGGAAATCTTTTAGGCAGTCAGCTCACTTAAAAAGACATAAATTAACTCATATTGAAAAGATTCCTTATAGACGATCTCTTTGCCAAGTAGAATTTGAACATTTGAACAAACTTTTGAATCTTCCAGGTGATAATGTTAACTCTAATGCTTCCCAAAAATTTCAGGCTCTTGGTTTTCAAAAATATGATGTCTCAGAGTCAGATCAAATATCAGAAATAAAAGTGAAGGCAGAATCAGAGGATTTCATTCTTGGTACTCACTGCAGGAACAGACAGCCCTCTCTCTCCAATGCACATCTGGAATCAGAGCAGACTGCTAATGGTTGTCGCTGCAGCCATTCGGGGCGGACCGAGAGGAATGATGGCCTCCTGTACCAATGCAGTGTTTGTTCTAAAAGTTTCAGATCTCCATCTAAATTGGAAAGACACTATCTAATTCATGCGGGGCAGAAGCCATTTGAATGCTCAGTTTGTGGCAAAACATTCAGACAGGCTCCTCACTGGAAAAGACATCAACTCACTCACTTTAAAGAACGACCACAAGAGGAAATGGTTGTCTTAAATTCAGTTATGTAACTGACAAAATCACTAACACATTTGTAGTCCATGATGATCTTGTCCTTAAAATCTGTATCATTTAAAATGTATACTTAACAAAAGGTTTACATTAGATTGAATGATTTCATAGGCAGTTGCTTGTCCTACATGATAAGGAGATACATAGAAAATCAATACAAGTGTTTAGGGATGGGCAAAATAATTTTTAGAGTGAAGAACAGGATGTAACGCTATAAAGTAAGTATTTTATTTGAACACTCTAAGTATATACTTTGGTTATGAAAGTGTTATAAATCCATGATGCTGTATACTTGATTCAGCCTCTTTTTTTTTTTTTAATTATTTCATAAGACATGCCACCATCTCCTTTAAGATACACACAAAACACTGAGAGGCAAAAACTGGTTGTTAGCTGCAGAAAATAACCCCATTTATTTTACCCTTAACATGAAAGCATAATTTTGTCCACCTGTGTGGCTCAGAGTTTTTTTTTTTCTTATGAGTGAAAAAAAAAAAAAAACAGTAAAAGGGAAAATGGATGAGAAGTTCATTAGT